TTAGTAGTGGAGCAAGGTATGTAGACGGGAAAAAGATTTGGAACATCTTCAACTTTCTATCATGCTAAGAGAGGTAAGGGTTCGAGTTCCCGATACAATAATATAGATAGTTTTGCTGTAGCTACACAGAAAAATAAGCAATCACAGTCTTTTGCTGCTAGCTCAGGTAGATCATATGGAGAAAGAACTACTCCATGTAACACTTGTGGCAAATTTCACCATGCAGTGTGGTGAAACTGGTCATTATACTCAAAATTGTCCTAAGAAATTCGGGGATAATTGAGTGCAAACTGAGAGATCAGTAGAAGCATCAAATAGAAACAAAGAAAGTGGTAGATCCAGAGGACAATCTGAGACAATCCCGCAACCCAAGACTCGTGGAGTAGCTAGAATTTATAATATTAAGACTAATGAAGATCATGATGACCCGGAGATTTTAACAGGTACATTCCATCTTTTCGATGAGCCTGTGTTTGTTTTGGTTAACCCTTGTTCTACACACTCTTATATTAGTACAAAGTTGGTTAGAGTTAGAGGAATTCAAGCTATAGTGGATTGGCAACCCCCAAAGAATATTTATGAAGTTTAAAGTTTCTTGGGGCTTGCTAGTTATTATAGATGGTTTATGAAGAACTTTCAATGTTAGCTTCACCGCTAACTAAGTTGTTACATAAATATATGCCTTTTGTTTGGTCAGAGAAATGCCAAGAAAGTTTTGAAATGCTAAAAAAGAATAGTAACAGAGGCACCAATGCTTGTACAACCTGAGTCTAGTAAAGACTATGTAGTTTTTAGTGATGCATCTCATAACGGATTGGGATGTGTGCTTATGCAAGAAGGAAAAGTTGTGGCATATGCCTCGAGACAGTTGAAGACTCAAGAGAGAAATTACCCGACACATGACTTGGAATTGGCAGCGGTCGTGTTTGCTTTGAAGATTTGGCGTCATTATTTGTACGGTGAGCGATGCCATATTTATATAGATCATAAGAGTCTAAAGTATTTGTTGACTAAAAAAGAACTGAATTTGAGGCAAAGAAGATGGATCGAGCTTTTAAAAGATTATGATGTGACCATCAATTATCATCCAGGGAAAGCTAATGTGGTAGCTGATGCACTTAGCCGAAAGACTTTTGCAACTTTACGGGCTTTAAATGCACATATATCCTTAAAAGAGGATGGCGCCTTAAAATCTGAACTTAAGTTAAAGCCGATGCTCTTGGATTGGATAAAATACCTACAAGGACAAGATGAAAAATGTTTGACAAGAATTGTACAAATAGAAAAATGTGAGGCCAAAGACTTCGAAATTGGGACTGATGGATGTCTATATTATCGTGGAAAACTTTGCATTCTAGATAATGAAGAACTGAAGAAATATATTCATCCGAGGCACATTATAGTCCTTTGGTAATGCATCCAGGTTGGAATAAGATGTATCAGGATATAAAGAGTCGTTATTGGTGGCCTGGCATGAAAATAGTTGTATTAGAATTTGTTGCAAAAAGCCTAACATGTCAGCAAGTGAAAGCTGAACACCAAGTGCCTTCTGGATTGCTACAATCGATATCCATACATAAGTGGAAGTGGGAACTAGTAACAATGGATTTTTTTTCAGGGCTACCGTTGACACCCAATAAAAAGGACTCAATATGGGTAATTGTGGATAGATTGACCAAGACAGCTCATTTCATTCCAGTTCGGGTAGATTACGCGATGGATAAATATGTTGAGTTATATATAAAAGAGATAGTTCGGCTACATGGAATACTGATTTCGATAGTATCCGATCGAGATCCCAGGTTTACTTCAAGATATTGGAAGTCTTTGCACGAGGCATTGGGTACTCGATTGAATTTCAGCACATCTTTTCATCCGTAAACAGATGGACAATCATAGCGAACTATTCAGATATTTGAGGATATGCTAAGGGCATGCATGATTGAATTCAAAGGAACATGGGAAAGATATTTTTCCTTTAGCAGAATTTACTTATAATAACATTTACCAATCGAGTAATAAGATGGATCTGTATGAAGCCTTGTATGGGAGGACCATTAAATTGGTTTGAGCTAAAAGATCGAGACCTAGTTGGCCTGAATTTAATGAAAGAAATGGAAGATAAAGTGAAAGTTATCCAAGATAACCTTAAGATAGCTTCCGATCGACAAAAGTCCTATATTGATATAAAGAGAAAAGAGATTGAATATCAAGTGGGAGATAAGGTATTTTTGAAAGTATCACCTTGGAAGAAAGTATTACGTTTTGGGCTAAAAAGAAAGCTGAGTCTGAGATTTATTAGACCTTATGTGATTTTAAAAAGGGTCGGATCAGTAGCTTATTAGTTAGCTTTGCCTCCTGATATGAACAAGATCATAATGTTTTTCACGTGTCGATTCTCAAGAAGTACCGATCAGATCCATCACATATCATCACACTAGAGGAAATAGAGATCCAATTAGATTTGAATTACGAAGAAAAACCCATGCGGATCTTGGCTCAAGAAAAAAACTGCGTAACAAGAAGATTCCTCTAGTTAAAATACTTTGGAAAAATCATAAAGTCGAGAAGCAACTTGGGAAAGAGAGGAGGACATGAGGAAGTAGTTTTAACACCTCTTCGCATCAGGTACATCTTAAAATTCGAGGACAAATTTTATTAAGGGGGAGAATTATAATACCCCAAATATCAGGTCAGTGACTATAGTTAAAGGATTTAAAATTTTGGTGGGTTAAATTGAGTAAATTGAAAAGTATAAGGAATGATTTAGAAAAATGTGTTTAAGACTAATTATTAAAAATGGAAGAATAGAAGGTTATTATGGTCCTTTAGAGGGAAACAAATTTAATATTCATTTGTATTAAGAATATTTAAGTGGGGAATAGAGGAAATAAGAGGATAAGTCTGAAAGTGGTTCTTCAAGTTGGTTTTTCCTTTTGTTTATGGGTTGGTTTTGAAACCTTAAGTGATATAGAGGCTTAAGGAAAGTTCAAGGATGATTAAAATTAAGAGATAAGTTATTTAATTGAGATTTAAGAAAATGATTTTTTAAATGATTTGATGAAATATGGTCACTTATTGAAGTTTAAAAGTATATTTGACTTGCCAAAGAACTAAACAAGAGATTTGGAGCCTTAGAAGTGACTAAAACCGTGTTTGAAAAATTGGTGTGAATTTTAGTTTTGAGAGTTTTTTTGGAGATTTGAGATGTTATGAGAAGATTTATAGAGGTAAGTTAGTTGGGTTAAGTGACGATGACTTTAATGGTATGGTTGGAGATAAAACTAAGAGATTTAGGTAAAATTTGGGTAAAAATCAAAGTGAAATAAGTAAAATATGGGTAAGGGTATTGGTACTGGAAGAATAATACCGATACTATAGGGTTAAATTTGAGGAAAGAGGATGAACACGATGAACAGTATCGATACTTATGCAAGTAATATCGATACTGATGTAGGGGTATCGATACCAAGAGGACGATTTTGATACTTTAATTGAAAAATGGATTCCAGAATTCAAAAATGGTATCGATACTGAAAAGAGTATCGATACTATAGGAGGGGTACCGATACTATTCAGAGTGGAATTTTAAGTTATTATGAATTTTAATAGAATTCTAAAATAATAGTACTTTTAAGTATTATTATTTTGTATAAATGATAGAAAATATTCTAACATTTGTAATGCATGTGTAATTATGGATGCTTGTGTAGATCGTAATCAAGCTCCTGAGTCAAGCCAGAAAAAGGCAAGGATACAATTGCCGATTAGTTGAACATCATTAAGGCATAATAGGAGGCATACCAGGTGAGTACATTTATTATACTTATATGAGATGAGGATAACTTACGATGAGTCAACCTCGAATGCTTTGATAAAAGTATGTTTTACAATATTTCAATATATTTCTAAAATGTTTATGGAAATGATATTATGAATAAATTTAGAGCATGACTGCTCTAAAATGAATAGATGAACTTTTATGTTGTTTTAATGGTTATCGATGCTTCAGAAATAAATGTTTAATCTACGAATTTGACTTAAAGGCCCATTGTATATACATTGAGAGTCATAGGTGCATTTTGTCATAAATTGTATATAATGGTTATCGATCGATTTTGCGTAATGTATAATGGTACATTTTTGTATCAGTACTTTGTGTACTTTTGGCACTAGATGTGCAACCATGGTATTAATAATTAGTTTGTGAATTACCATTTTGACATACAATTATGTATAAAAGTTATCGATCGATTTTGTTTAATGTATAACAGTGCATTTTCGTATCAGTATTATATGTACTTTCGACACTATGTGTGCATTCATGGAGTTCATAATGAGTTTATGAATTTCCATTTCGACACTTATGTGCAACGCATGTACCTTGCATTCTCATTTGAAATACATTGGGCAAATAAAGAAAAAAATAAATATATATGTACTGATTGATATGTATGCTGGGCATACTAAATCTAGTTTCGCAGCTTATCTGAATAAACCTTGGTTTGCCAAGCCAATTTAAGTATTAATATGATTCATACGATTTAAACTCGTTTCTTGATATTTTAAGATATATTCATGTTTAGGTTACACCTCATTTGTATTGTTATGCCTCACTAAGTAAATACTTAGCGTGTGTTGGTTTCACGCGTAGGTAATAGCAAAGACTAGCGGAGTAAGGAGTGCAGTGAATATCATCAATCAAAGGTTGCCTCATCAGTAACTGTAGGACAATTATGTATACTTTTGATATTTAGATGGAATGTATGAGACTTATGAAAATGCTCTGGAATGTATTTGGCTTATGATTTTTGTAATATGTTATAACTTTAAGATTATTTTAACTACTTTATGTTAACGAACGTTTTATTATTATTATATTAAATTTTTTTGCTTTTAGAAACAAAATTTTATGGATTTATAAATAAATAAATGTTTTAAAAGTCATGTGACACCTGTGACTTATGTACAGAAACGTATACAAGAAATGGGTGTTATACCTCCCAGGTAAGGACTGCATGATTGAACATTACATAGAATAGTTGTATTCAGTTCTTGAAGATTTGTTATTCAATGTATATAAGAATAGTTGTAATGATCTTCGTTAACATTTCGAAACCAATAAGTATCATGCATGAATTACCTTATATCCTCGAGGCAAACAACAAGAAATCTGCCACTTAAAGATTTACCAAGAGCGGTAGCTTCTGTATAAAGACTGAACCTAGAATAAACTTCGTCCTTATGCCCATATAGCTCAAGATAACCTATTGAAGGATAGGATTTGCACATAACTGCGAGCATTTGATCTTCACCAAAGTATGGGTTTCCCCGGACATCTTTGTTGCAGGATTTTATCTGAGTACTTGGGGGAAGATCAAATGCTCACGGTTGTGTGCAAATCCTATCATTCAGCAGGTTCTCTTGAACATTATGGGCATAATGGTGAAGTTGATTCTAGGTTCGGTCTTCATGCAGAAGCTACCGCTCTTGGTAAAGCTTTAAATGGAAGATTTCTTGTTATTTACCTCGAGGATATAAGGTACTGCATGCATGATACTTATTGGTTTTGAAACGTTAATGGAGATTATTACAACTATTCTTATATACATTGAAGAACAAATCTTCAAGAATTGAATACAACTATTCTATGTAATATTCAATCATGCATCCTTACCTGGGAGGGGTTGAGTTCAATTGTAACACCCATAACCTGTATACGCGAACCAATACGAGTTACAGATGCCACATTAGAAATTTAACATTTCTTTATTTAAACTGAACAAAATTTTGTTTCATTCAAACATCTCTAGTTTCATAACTTGAACAATTATTATAAAATAGTTATTTAGAGAAAAATCATAATATTTATTCATACTATTAATTATATTTAATACTAACTATATTAAGAAATTGCAGACATTTCATTCTCGTATACATGCCAGCTAAGACTTTTACAACATAATAGGATGTCATGATTGTTACCTGTAAATATTTCCTTGGTGATTGATGCCAAGCTAAGCTCCTTACTCCTTTTCTTCCCTTTTTCCTACGCGTGAAAATCATCACACGCTAAGTATACACTAAGTGAAACAATCATATGAATATTTAAAGCAATGCAACATGTAATTTAAAGGAATTACAATATTCAATGCAATATGATCACTTTACCTGCATACCATTCATGTTACTATAAATTAACATGATATAACTGGGTATAAAGTTTCTTACCAATATACTTATCATTTATCCCATAAGGTTGTAAGCTTATTTTCCAATTTATCATTTATTAACCAATAGACCATGGCCCAATTTAAACCCTGAGGACCCTGGGTACACGAGTCAATTATATACACCGTAGTGCTAAACCTGCACTAAGCTTACGCTCTAGTGCTAATCCGGATATGATACATAGGCTCGTGGCCACCGCCTACACTAGGTTTACACTATAGTGCTAATCTGGATATGACACATAAGGCCGTGCCCAGTTCTTTCACTTAGTGTTCTTACACACTAGTGCTAATATAAACTTGCAGCTGCTATACTCTATGACATGCCAACTATACCCTGTCCCTCATTGACTTACTTGGGCATATAGTCTATTTTCCATGGCAAAGTATATTATCATAATTTAACATTGGGCAATTCATACCTGAAATAACATTTGCAATAAACATCATATATAATAACCAGTAACCAATGCGTTTTATATTCAACCTTTGACATATTTAGAATATGTCAAATATATGATAAATGACATAAATATCATATCAACATAAACAAGGTAGACTTATCACAAGTCCTACCCAAGGATGTATAAAACATCCATATATAATGTTATGCATACATTGCACTCATTTTGAAATTATATGCAAGTGAAAATATAAGCCTCACTAAGCTTTAACTTGATCCTTTACTTCTAATTTGGTTAAAACCAAAATTTCTCGTAATTTCATATCCTGACAGTTTGCACTATATTTAAAGAAATATTATTATGTATTAATCTAATCCTTTAAAAATTATTCCATTTATACCACTGGAAACTACACTCAAATATGAATATATCCATATAAATCAATCCTTCTAGTTCTATTTGTACAATTTATGGTGAATTTTCAAAGTTGATCGACATAATCCGTTTTGAGCAGAATCTGCTGCCCCATTTTCGAACCTATCATCGGTTAAAATTTCATATATTTTTGTATACAACTTGAAATCAGTTTCTGTTTGTTCTAAACAAAGATAAACTGATATACAAATCTAACAGTATAAAATTTATCCTCTAATAAGTTTTTTAGAATTTATGGAGATTTTCCTGTCCAGAACATAAATTCTAGGAAGATTTCACCAATTCGTATTTTCAACTTGTTCACTAATTCTATTATCTCACCAAATGCACATATATGAAAGCATCACAAATAACATAACGTTTTAGGAGTCACTCCTTACCATAGTAACTCCGTCACTCCTTACCAAAGTAACTCCATCACTGGCTCATCGCATGCCAATGTTTGTTCGATAACATAAGTACAAATTAAATTTGTACTCACCTGATGTCCTTAGCTTTCAAACTTCCCTTAGGATTTCACATTCCATCGTTAATATTTTCCTTATCTTTGATATTGCTTGATCTTGATTTCAAGCACTCAATCTAAATGGACATCATTACCAAACATACACAATTTCAAACCAAATGTTAGAATCTTACTAACATATGCATACTTTGGAAAATAAATTCCTAACAAATTTTCTGATATTTATTCGATACAATTTCCATGTCATAACATAAATGTTGACCTTAAAACTTCTAATTGACCACTCAAGTTCCATTTTATCCCAACTTCACAAAATATTTTCACTTAAGCTCCCAACCTTTCCATATTTGTGATTTAAACCTAAACTTTTAAAAGTTTTCCAAAAATAATCCAATCTTACATCCTAACTTCAATTTCAACACTTAAACATTAATTTCCATCATAGTACATAAATTATAGAAACAATCACACAGCAAACCATTTTTTTCCAAAATTGTCGATTCGGTCCTTTAACTTTTTAAAATTACCAAATGGTCCCTAAATTTTTCTAAGGCTTGTAAAATACTTTCTATATCATTTTTCAGCCCTTAAATAATTTTTGCATAATTTTTCTCATCCTTTTAGACTAAGGCCGAATGGTTCAAAGTTCCAAAACTAGGTTTTTCATGATTTTGCTCGATTTTGACTAGATTCAAGCATGAAATCAACTTTCATCCAACCTTAAATCATCTCTAAAGTCAAATCCCTTATCAAATTTCATCAAAACACAAAGTTCCATAACTCAATAATTTGGTCGGATTTTAAAGAACAATTTCTAGGAAGATTGAACATGTTTCAATCATCAAACAAGCTTGAAAATGAATCTACAACCTCAAAAATATCAAGATTCATCATCAATTTCTTGATCCATAATGTGAACCCTAGAATTTAGGATATTTGAAATCAAGCAAGATTAACAAGCATAAATGGTACCAAAAGATAGCGTTTCTCGCGTAGAACAATTTTCTATTTCACGACATAACCCGAAATCCAAAGAAAATTGTTTAAAAATGGAAAACAAATTTTTTTCTTTCCTTTGGAGTGGTTCACTACAATGCCGGTGAAGATGAAGAAATTCCCTTGAAAATTCTTCATCTTTCTTTATAAAATAATAAATTAAAAATTTATTAAATGCTAAATTACCAATTTACCCTTAAAATTAAAATATCTTTACTAACCCTTAATGAAACTTGATATTTACCTTAATACCAAGCCTTATAAACCTTATTATCTTCCAAAGTCAAAGATGAACAAAATATTTCCCATTTTACCATTTTGCCCTTATAATTTCCCAAAAATTACAATCTTGCCATTTTAAACCAACGGTCCAAAGTTAACATGGAATTAAATCCTCAAATCCAATGGTTTATATTATTGTCCATCATTTTAAAATGTGGAAATAATATTTTTAAGCCTAATTTATCATCCTTCAAAATTTTCCAAAATTTTTATTTTATCTGATTTACCGAATTTTTATCGGACTTTATCACTTTATAGTTTTTAATACCAATTATGTAAGAAAAATTTGATTCCCATAGAAGCATCATTCTTGGGGGTAAACTATTCATTTACAGAACCAGATTACATAACTTTTTAAAATTACACCTTAGTCCCTAAAAGATTCCAAAGTTTATACTTTAGCCACTTAACTTTCAAATTTTACAATTTGGTCACTAACCAAATCCATTTATGGAATAAAAAATCTTTTGGAAAAATTACCACTTAGGTACTTAAATTTTTTCTAATTTTCTACTTGGGCCATCAAACTTTCAAAATTTACATTTTGGTCACTAACCAAAATTTTGGGGTATTACAATTCTTCCCCTCTTAAGAAAATTCGTCCTCGAATTTTCAATACGTACATGATGTAAATAGACAAGGATGTTGCTGTTAGAGTATACCCAAAGACCAATCATATGATGATTGTAATAATACATTGTGTACGGATTTTATTGAATAAAGGCATTGCCACTATTTGTAAATAAATACCTATTTATAAATTTTTAATTCGGTATATTTACTTACTTTAATATTTTTATTTTTTTAAATTTAATGGAAAACAACACTTTATCACTGCAATCACTCCTTGAGAAGGAGAAGCTTAATGGCATAAATTTTCTTGACTGGTTTCGTAATTTGAGAATTGTTCTCAAACACGAAAGGAAGGAATATGTCATTTAAGAACCTGTTCTTGAAGAACCGACAGCTAATTCTTCAAGAGCTGACAAAGAAAAATTTAAAAAACATATGGATGATATGTTAGACATTGGATGTCTAATGCTTGCCACCATGACTCCTGAGCTTCAGAAGCAACATGAAGACATGGTTGCATATGAGATGATTCAAAATTTCAAAGAAATATATGAAGGGCAAACACATCAATAGAGATATGAGACCTCTAAATCTCTATTTCAATGCAAAATGGTAGAGGGATCTCTTATAGGAGCTCATGTCATCAAGATAATGGGCTACATCCAAACGTTGGAAAAGTTGGGATTTCCTCTCAAAGATGAATTGGCTACCGATGTTATCCTACAATCGTTGCTTGATAGCTTTAGCCAATTGGTCCTTAATTTCAACATGTATGAAATTAACAAGACTTTGTGAACTACTGAAAGTAACATGAAAAAGGTTGGACCTAA